CCTGGTCTAGTGGAAGGTGTCCCCGCCTGTGGCAGGGGGGTGGGAACTAGATGATCTTTAAGGCCCCTTCCAACCCAAACCAGTCTATGATTGAGTCATAAAAGCCAAAGAAACCTAAAATTGCAGTGGTGGCTGTATGCAGTCACTTCATGCTCCTGTGACTGCAAACTGATGCATTTGTAATATGTTCTGGAGATGTGTTTGTAAGTCTTGCTCTTCCGACAGTTTATACGCTTGCCTTTTGGTGGATTCAGTTTTGTGGCTCTTCTATGTGAAGCTGCCATCTCAGTCCCACTAGAGGGCATCTCTTCCCTTAGTACATGCTTATGCTGCCTGATTTCAAGGGAATCCATTTTAAAGATTGAGTAGCATCGAGGAGTTAATAGATAAGTAGCCGTGCCACAGACTCTTGCATGTTAAAGTTGGGTTGTTTTCCAAAACTGATTAGTCTTTTAGCAGTGTTGCTCTTGTTGCCAGGACTTGTTCCAACTGTGACATTTGTAAATGACAGTTGGAAGTAGAGAGTAAACTGCAAGATCTTTTGTATGGTGTGGTTTTTTAGCAAAGTAAAGTATGCTCTGGTCACACTTACTGTACAGGAGAACAGACAGATACTTTACTCAGTCCTCTACTTGGCGCCAACTTTTTTGTACAGCAGATCATCCCCCTACTAAAATGGCCAATGTTTATTGCCTGACATTTTTTTCCTGTGCAAAATTGTGTGTGGGTCACCACTATTGCAGGTCTATGGAAACAGCTCTAACCTTTCTTTACTGCTGTTTAAAAAGAGCAATTGGTACTTTTATACAGTTCAGCTGGGGCTGAATGGTGGTTATCTGTTCACTGGGGACTGTGGCTGTGTCAAGTCCATCCTAATTTATCTTCTGACTGCTGGTTACTAAGAGGTTACATTCACTGATTACATAAAAGTAGTATTGCCAGACTTGGGACAGCAATGTTCAGTCATTCTATAGGCTGACATGACTTTATTTTAGTAATTAACTCCCCAGTATAAGTCCCTTAAGGGGCTGTTATTTGTCTGGGGCTTGGCTGGCAGAAGGGTAGGCTTGTAGCAACAAGTTACTGGGAGATGCCACCTTGTGCTGCACCGGATTTATTGTTTACAACATGAAATAAAGTGAGGTTGCAGGATGTGTTCGCAAGTTTTTGGAGAGGTGTTGTGAATGGTCTTGTGGGAGGTATGAGCTGTTTTGGCAGAAGAGGAAGTTTTCTGAGTTTACAACAGCCAAGAACTCCTTGGGCACAGAAGCTGCAACTGCTTACACAGCCAGTCTGTGTGATATCTTTCTGTTATGAAAAGTTATTTTGGTGAAACTGGAAATACTTTATTCACTATCTAGAACATCATAAACTTCGTCTATTTCTGGTGTGATTCATTTCAGGACTTGCCTTAGTTGACAAAATATGTTTGCCTTATCTGAATATAGACACTAATGGGGTGAGGAATGTTACAAATCACTCAGAATAAAATTTTCAAAGGAGAAACTTATTTAGCACTCTTTCAGGAAGAAAAACTCCACATAGACTTTTTCTCCTTTAATACATAGTGTAATACAGGGCTGGGGGGGTAGAGGAAGATCTAGCTGTGTGATAGAGGCAGTATTCACCAACAAGAATCACTGTTCAGAAGTTACCTGTGTTGAGTTAATGTTTTCTTCTGTGTTTTTTTAATAGTCCAGGACAAGAGGGAGTTATGTTCTCAGAACTTAAGCTGAGGTATCTAGTGTTTCTGAGAGTTTAAAAAGTAGATGTTTTACAATTGAGCAAGGTTATGTCAGATTTCTGCTTCAAATCCACATCTGCAAAAGATAATATTTGCTTCTAGTGTCGTTAAAATTGTATTTTGATGTTTTTTTTAACATGCAGTTTGGATTTGGAATGTACAGTAGACTCTCAGGGAATATAAATTTAGTTGGGGAGATGTACTAGTAGTAGTAGATTTGAGACATCAGAACATTTGGAGGGCACATAGTATAATTAAGAATAATTGGATAGTTAAAACCCTTTTCAAGCATAGTCTTAATATTCTGTAATGTCACATACGCTCTGCAAGCTGTGCATATGTAAAGTACTGCATGTTCTCATAAATAAATATGTTCAATAGCCTGTTTTGTAAAAGTTCGGGGAGGGGGAAAAAGCCCTGCATTAGATAGATGTTTAATATTACAGTGAACTTAAAAGTGTAGTTTGACTTCTTTCCTAGAGCGTTTTCTTTAAGTCTTTTCAAAATAACTCTTAGGCTTCATTGTCATGCAGGAAGGATTGCTTTATTGGAAGCTCACACTCTTGATAGTTTGTCTATTCATACTTGTTTTAAATTTTTGGTGAGGTGAATTGGATGGCTGAAGGAGTAATGCTTATACTGGACCATGTTCAAGTTGCTGGTTCTTCTTTCCTAGTTTCTCTGAAACCCAGTCTTGGTTAGAGTTGGGTAGTAAACCAAAAGAACCTGTGCAATGCTAACTTTGAGTTTCTTTCATCATAATTTCAGTCTTCTCCTTAACATACCAGCATATAGAGTTTATTCTAGAATCACTTGGGAGCGAGAACAGCAGCTCCATGGTAGTAAAATATGTCAATGTCCAGCTCTCTCGCAGAATTGTATAGCTCACTTGTGCATATAGTTACTTTTTGGGGCTATGCTGGCAGCTTTTGTAGTCTTAAATCTCCCAGAATAATTGGCAAAGCTTCCTTTTTCCTTTCAATAAAGTAGTGCCTATTTTTACAAGAATTGAATGCTGCCCTTGTTCTCCAATGCTTTGAAGAGTTTTTGTGGAATGTTTCCCCCATGATAATTTTCCTGTTAAACTTTATAACAGAAAATTGGAATGTGCTTGTACTTTATTTTATTCTTTCGCCTTGGGCTTATGTAAACTGGTCTCGGTGATTATTATGTACGTTTTTTCCATCTTTAGTGCACAGTGCTGTGGTAAACAGTCTTTCCTTTCACCCCTCTGGAAACTATCTGGTTACTGCTTCCAATGATTCAACTCTTAAAATTCTGGACTTGCTAGAAGGAAGACTTCTGTATACCCTTCATGGTCACCAGGTGAGACACAGCCTTTTATACAGTAACATACAAACCCATAACAAACTGGGCAAATTTGTGCTTGAGCCTTTCATTCTTCATGACCAAAAAATCTTTTGAAAACTTCCTTACATAAAACGATGATGATAGTACTAGTAATAATCTTTGAGATCATGACTGTTTTGAAGGGAAGGCCTATGGAGAGGGAAGGATGTAAGGCAGGAATGGAGAGGATGACAAAACAAGGCAGAAAGGGAGCTCCAGTACTGAGGGTGCAAGTCTAAGTCCTAAGGGGCACAGTCGGAGCTGCACCCCAGACTCTAATCCTGGGTCTGTCGTGCACTCTGTACCACAGCTCTGACTCCCTCTCTAGAGTGGTGAAATAACACTTGGCCCCCTGACTTAAGTGTTATGAAGATAAATCACCTGACAGGAGACTTAAGGACAGTAGTGGTAAAATGGAGGAAATATATTTTGCGATGTGATTTGGGAACATGTTTCCACTTTGTTTACAGTCTGAATTAAATAATTGAAGGTGATAAATGCTGCTGGTTGGTTAAGTTTAACTGATCGGCCTATTAGTATTATGCTGCTGGATGTGTTGCTTGTAAGGTTAATTATATGAATGCTTGGAGCTCTCTTTTTAAATGTTAAATGAAAATAAATAGACTAATTTCATTGTCCATGCTGAGTGGGGCTCAAAGGCATGAAAAAGCAGACCTGCTTTAAAGGTTCCCTTTCCAAAGGGACAAAGCAAACAGAAATTCTTAACCCACTTGTCTCTCTGTTAAACTGGGGGCTGAGTCTTAAAGCATCAAAACTAGCTGGGGAAAAATCACTGCCTGAAGCTGTTGGGGGTGGTGGAGATGGTTCTGGGCAATAATGATAGCCGTGTAAGCTGCAAAAGTGATAATTCAGGCTTGTGGCTTTAGTTTAGTGACTGCCTTGTCTGATGTATAAAAAGGTCAAGTTTGTTCTGTAACTTCTTATACTATGTGTTAATAAACTTTTCTCCTTTTTTGTAATATTAATGGAAAAATAGGACAACCTCATACTTAAAGCTCTACTTCATGGGAAGATCTGATTAAAACTGACCAAAGGGTTCAAATGCTGAAAAGAATGAGGGAAAGATAATAAATGCTGGCTATCCTAACATGTAAACCTCAACTGCATAAAACTTTCTTACTTTGAAAACTGGACTAAGTGGATACTCCTGTTGGATAGGGGCTGCAAAGCTTCTAACTGTTGTCCTAATCTCCATTTTCATATTTCTTTCGTGTTAGTTGACCAAGTGAGTGCTTAGGAAGTAACTTTCTGGAAAAGGGTAAACGTGGAGGGACAGTGGATCTTTGCACCTCTCATCCTTGCCTCAGGAAGGGATGTGCCTGCTTATTGTTCAGCATGTGGCTGAACCTGCTTTCCATTTTCCTCCCTTCTGAGCTGTAGGCTGCTCCTCCATAAGTGCAGTGGCACAAAAAGTTTTGCTTTGAATGAGAGCCCAAAACTGATTATGGTGATGGAGGTCTTCAGAATTAGACAATAGAAAGTCCCTTTAGGCTGATGCTGTACTTAACTCAGGGCTTCTACAAAACAGTTGGTTTGTGAATCATCTGTTCAGAAGTAGAGTTAAAGTTCCATATTATTCCCGGCCCCCTCCCCCCCCCTTCAGATCAGTTAGATGTCTGCCACACTCTCCTAGGCATCTGACTGACATTGGAAATGCTTTGACACTGGCACAGCTGAAGGGTAGTTGCCATTGTGGGATTACACCTCCTTCAGTTTGGAAACAAGTAGAAGTATGAAAGTGGCTGGTAGTGCTTTCTGGTGGTCTTCAAGGGTATTGCACTGAGATGGCTGTGGAACCAGTCCTGGCGTAGCCTTGGGCAGGTATTCCCTCCGCTGGCTGGCATGTGCTGTATTGTGGTGGGTTGGTTCTTTTAATGCCTGATTTAACAGATACCTTGCTTTTCCACTAAAAGTATATGATAACCTGTGCTTCATTCACAGTAAGCAACTGGCAGTGACAACAGGCCCTGCTTTCATCAGAAGCTGTTGGGGTGGATTCCTGCACTGGTGGCTGCTTCTCTAGCCTGCTCTGCTTGTAGATAAACCCAGGCTACTTAATACTGAGGGCTTTTTTTCTTCCCCTCCAGCCTCACTGTGATTTCTGCCAGTATCTCCAAGTGGCTAAAAATGAAGTGGGTGTGGATTTTTTGGTCATTGAGTAGATTTGCCTTTTTAAGTGAGGGCTATAGGTTAGTCACCAAATGAACAGCCTGTTCTGAAGACATTCTTGAGTTGTGACTTTGTGTGGGTGAATATGCTGGTTGAGACTTTGTTCTTACTCTGACAGCTGACTGCTGTTATGTTGTTCTGGGAAGGCTGCATGCGAGTGGACACTTGAAGGAAAAAAAGGGCCTTTAGACATACTTTGACGCAACTGCTGGAGTGCCAGGAATTTGTTAGCAGCTGATTAGCTGTAGTTTACATAGGGAGGATTGCCAAGTTTACATTGATGTCTTTAATTGTAATGTAGCTGTCCCCCTTGTAGCAGAAGGATCGTTAGAGGCAGGAGTTTGTGGCTTGGAGCTGACATCTTGCAGCTGCAAAATATCATTCTGTATTGTGCTGCGTATTTTAATTCTGGAGTGCTTCAAACTGTGAAGTATTCTTGCCTAATTCCATACAGATGAGACATCAGGTTGGTATGTAGGTCCACCTCTGGTGCTGAATCATCCTCAAGGAGCAGAATGTTTTGGGGCCTGTAAGTCACCTCTGGAGAGTTGCTAGAGGAGAGCAGGTATGTACACAGTGCCTGTCTGTCCTTTGGGGTGATTTGATTAGAGCATTTCCAGACTGACTTCCTTAATGGAATGGAAGTTCTCAGTAAATATTTAGGAAACATCTGCATGGTTATGTTTATAAATAGGAAGACAGAAAATGCAAAGTTATGTTTCCCCAAGCAACCTTGACTTGAACCATGAAGTAGCTGTGTTCCACTTACCTGGGTGGCATAAGTGCTCTCTGCTGGCTGACTAAAGAGTAAGTTCTGAGCAGGTGCACAAGAAACAAATGTGCTCCTTTACTGTCTGCTGCCAGCTCTACCTAGGTGGCATTAAACATCCGTGCAGGCCTAGTCTTCTTTGAAAGGTGTGAGGACATCTCAGGGCTGCACAGAACTGGACCACTAAAGAGAGGGAAAGGGTGTGTTGCAAACAAGCAATTGATTTTAGATTAGCGTTTCTGAGTATTAAAAGGAAATATGAGTGCTCTATTCTTCCCTTGTATTTTTTTTTAAAACTGAAGCTTTCAGGAGTTAAAAAGCTACGAAGATTCAATTATAAGGTGCCAGTATAAATTTTCCCTATGTTTGCTGTAGCCCTTACTCCCTGGTGAAGGAAGGTGCAGGCATGACAGTCTTGCTCTGTGTAGAGATACAGGAGTCTTTCAAAGCTCAGTGGACTGAGAATCCTTGTGACTTCTTGTCAGAGGTATTCTGCATGAAAACATCCCTCGTTGCCATTGCCATCTCTGTCCCATGTGCTTTTCTCCTTGGCTCCCTTTCACTCTCCCTTTCTCTCCTTTGTTATCACCCCCATTGTGCAGTTCCTAGGAATCTGCCCTTTTTATCTAAACACTTTCCTTGTCCTTACCATTACAGATGTAGACTCTTTCCACAGCCCCTACTGCTTTCCACTCCATCCCCACTTGAGGACAATACTCAGCTCTGTCCTGTACCTCTTGATTTGCCAGCGTGCAATGCCTGTGGTGACACCTCTTCCTCTCCGCATTGTCTTTGGGGTATCTGTGTTCTTTGTAAAAAGACAACAAACATCCATGGCTTTCCTAGTTTTATTTTCCCCAGCTCTTGCCTCTTTCTAAGACTTGGATTTTCCTGTCTGATGCTTCTTCTGCAGGATATGTGCTGCGTCCTGTACCAGATTGTGAAACAAGTGTCTAACTGTCACCTGTCTTGCCCCTTGTATTTCTTCCTGCCTCCGTCTTCTCTGAATTCAGCTTTCTTTTCCTACTATGTATCCTGCTATTGTCTTTCACCTTTTTTGATGAGATTGACTAGATCTTCATAGCTGTGGGTTTCCTTGCTGCAAGTTCATAACTGATCCTGAGATACAGGCTCAATGCTTCTGCCTTACCAAAAGGTCTGTTAATTTGAATGGGTCTTCACTGAACAATCTTCACTGCTTTATCTGCTGCTGAAACCAAGTGATAGGTGAAAGACACACGACACCAGCATCTTGTCTCAGGCCTTCTATGTTCTTTGGCACTTGAATGCATTTATCAAGTTTCTTACCTGCTCTTGGTGTGTTCCTAATTGTCTTGATCACTTATTTTTTGCATCTTTTGCTCCTCTCCCATCTGTCATTTCAGTGTCCATCTGTCCATGTGCCATGAAGCAGTTGAAAGCACTGTGAACAGTGGCAATGACTGCTCTGTTTATTTCTTTTATGCCTTGAACTGATGATCCCAGCGTGCTTGTTGCTGCCTCTGATTTGCTTCTCGGACCTCATCACCACTTCTCTCTTTTTTTTTTTTTTCTCTTTGCACTAGTTAATCTATTCCAGGAGAGTTTGACTGAATGTACTGGCTTGTATCTTCCCACTTCTACATCCCCTTTTGTGGGCAGCGGAAGAGGAAGCTTTCCTTTAATTCAACTATTTGCATCCTCTAGATATGCCTTGTTCCAGCTCTTGGCACCTCCCTCTTATCTGGCGCTTCTCTGGTATGCATTAGTTTTTCCCAGGATTTAAAAAAAAAAAATATCTACTGGCATCCTTGACCTCACTTGTCTTTCCAGCTACTTTCCTCTCTGCTTCTCTTCTCATTGTGCAGACGTGCATCATTAAACTACTCTCCTCTGGTTTATTCCTGGACCCTCTCCAGCCTGGCTCATGTTTCTTCTGTTATGCTGAAGCCAAAATGTTAGCTCTGTTCCGAGCTGAAGCTTGTAAGTCTGGCCTTTCTTGACTTGAAGTGACTGTTGGTATTGGCCCTGCTGTTCT